TTAAAGTAAGATTTAAGAAGTCTCACTCTGTTGCCCAGGCTGGAGTGCAGAGATCTGGGATCATTGCAACCTCGGCCTCCCGGATTTAAGCGATTCTCATGCCTCAGCCTCCCAGGTAGCTGGGATTATAGATGTATACCACCACACCCAGATAATTTTTGTATTTTTAGAGAACAGAGCTTCACCATGTTGACCAGGCTGGTCTTAAACTCCTGATCTCAGGTGATCCACCCACCTCGGCCTCCCAAAGTGCTGGGTTTGCAGACATGAGCCACTGCACCCAGCCTCAATCTTTTTTTTGTTTTTGTTTTTTTTTGAGGCAGAGTCTTGCTCTGTCACCCAGGCTGGAGTGCAGTGGCATGATCTCAGCTCACTGCAACCTCCACCTCCCAGGCTCAAGCAGTTCTGCCTCAGACTCCTCAGTAGTTGGGTTTACAGGTGTATGCCACCACACCCAGCTGATTTTTGTATTTTTAGTAGAGATGAGGTTTCACCATGTTGACCAGGCTGATTTCAAACTCATGACCTCAAATGGGCTGTGCACTTTGGCCTCCCAAAGTGCTCAGATTACAAGCAAGAGCCACTGCACCCAACCATCTTGGCAATTTTGAAATGTACAATACTCTGTTATTAACTCTATGCACCATGCTGTGCAATAAAAAGAAAACTATTCCTTCTGTCTAACTGAGATTTTGTACTCTTTGACCACCATCACCCCATTCTCCCCAACTCCAGAGCCATTCTACTCTCTGCTTCTATGAGTTCTATTGTTCTAGATTCAATTTCTAAGTGAGAACATGTGGTATTTGTCTTTCTGTGTCTGACTTATTTTATGTAGTATAATGTTCTCCAATTTTGTCCGTGTTGTTTTAAATGACACAATTCTGTCTTTTTAAAGGCTGAATAGGATTCCATTGTGTATACATACCCCGTTTTCCTCATCCATTCATCGGTTGATATACACTTAGGTTAATTCCATACCCTGGCTATTGTCGATAGCGCTGCAATAAACGTGAGGTTCAGACATTTCTTCAAGTAACTAATTTCAATTTTGGGGTAAGTACCCAGAAATGAGCCTGCTCCATCCTATGGTAATTCTATTTTTAGTTTTTTGAGGAAGCTCCATACTGTTCTCCATAATGGCTACCCTAACTTATTACATTCCCACCAACAGCACACAAGGGTTCTCTCTTCTCTCTGCCAACACTTATCTTTCGTCTTTTTTGGTAAAAGCCATTCTGACAGGTATGAGATGACGTCTCACTGCAGTTTTAACTTGCATTTTCCTGATCATTAGTGCTATTAAGCATTTTTCATATACCTGTTAGCCATTTGTACGTCTTCTTTCGAGAAATGTCTATTCAGATCCCTTACCATGTTTTAATTGGTTTCTTGTTTTCTTGCTGTTGAGTTGTTTGAGCTCCTGGATTTGTTCTCAGTGAGACTAATACAGACTCCTAATGAACAATACATTATTTTCTTTCTTTTCGAAATGCTTTTTTGTTTTGTTGTGCTTATTATAAAAGAATTCTAGGCCGGGCACAGTGGCTCACTCCTGTAATCCCAGCACTTTGTAAATCCCAGCTGAGGCAGCTAGATCACAAGATCAGGAGTTTGAGGCCAGCCTAACATGGTGAAACCTCGTCTCTACTAAAAACACAAAAATTAGTGAAGTGTGGTGGCACATGCCTGTAATCCCAGCTACTCAGGAGGCTGAGGGAGGAGAATAGCTTGAACTCGGGAGGCGAGGCTGTAGTGAGCTGAGATCGTGCCAATGCAGTCCAGCCTGGGGGATAGGGCGAGACTCCTTCTCAAACAAAAACAACAACAAAAAATTCTGAGCACCATGAAAGAGAGAGTAAATATGACAGAATCCTCATATTCAGGGATACGCCTGTGTTTGTGATGCTCTCTGCCTGCCACATCTTCTTGGCCCAAAGATTTCAGCTGGGATGAATGGTTCCTCGAATTTTCAGCACCCCACCAAGTCTGCACCTGGGAGTCTCTCTACTCTGCTTTCTCTGAAGTCACAAACAGGGACAGCCCAAAACTGCAGGAGTGGGGCAACCCTCAGCCAGTGGGGAGGGGAAGCAGCCAATGCCACCTCTCAGGTAGGGTAAACCTCAAGTTCACTCTGCACTTTTCTCAGAGTGTCCCCAGCAGGATAGAACCCCCCAGTTGCCTGCAGCTAAAACAAGCTCATTAATGCACCCATTTTTTGCCTTTCCCTCCACCACCCTTTTTGTGAGACAGAGTGTCACTCTGTCATCAGGCTGGAATGCAGTGGTGTGATCTCGGCTCACTGTAAACTCTGCCTCCTGGGTTCAAGTGATTCTCCTGCCTTAGCCTCCCGAGTAGCAGGTCTATAGGTACATGCTACCACACCCAGCAAATTTTTGTATTTTTAGTAGCGATGGGGTTTCACCATGTTGGCCAGGATGGTCTTGGTCTCTTGACCTCGTGATCCTCCCATACTGGTCTCCCAAAGTGCTGGGATTACAGGCACGAGACCCCGTGCCCAGCCTCTTTATCTCACTCTCCTAATTCCCTCACTTCCACTGCCTGGCATCATCTCGCAAATAAACTCCCTCTACCCAAGCTTTTGTCTTGGGGTCTGCTTCAGAAGCAGGAGAATCAAACAAAGATGTTAGTGACCACTCTTTGCATATATACTTGTATATGTATATATACATATTTCCAATAATAAACCTGTGTAATTTTGCATAAAGGGGATCATTACTACACATGCATTCAAAAACTATTTTTTTTAATTACTCACAGTAGGTAGTGAACAAATTTCCATGTCAATAAAGAAAATTCTAAGCACAGTTTTTAATGTCTGCATAGTATGTCATTGCAGGTGTGTCTCGTTTTTTATTTAATTTACTTAATTTATGGATATCTAGATGGTTTCCAATTTTGCACTGTGATGAACGTGCTCAGGCAAACATCTTTGCAAGTGTATAGCTTGGAATTTTGAAAAATTCTGAGCTGTGCCAGTGCTTTATTATCTCCTAAGTGTACACAGTACTTGGTAATTTCTTCTGGAATTTTAATAGAGGTCAATACTAATCTTAGCAGTGTAAAGATTTTTTAAATAAAAAAATCTGTATTTCCTCCCTTTTTTGAAAATCAGGACATTTGCCTATTTTCTGTTTTCTGGCACTTCCTTCATTCTCTGTAATTTTCTCAAAAGCGATGATTACATCTGTAAATACCTCCAGGTCCCTGGGATGTCATATGTCTGGGTGCAGTGAGTGAGCGTGTTGTAGGTGGCTTGATGTTTTCTTCCTATCACTGGACTATCTTGGGTGTCAATTTCCTCCTTATGTCTTTATTCCACAACTTGAAGTAAAACAGCCTCTGCCTTGCTCTGTCTGCCTGCCTTCGAGCCCAAGCCAGAGCAGACTCCTTCCTGTTATTTTCACTTAGACTTTGAAAGCTCTTTGCTCTTGTCTTTGCCAATTTCCCCTGACTTCTGTTCACTGGAGCTTCGGCGCTTTGCTAACGCCATTCTTACAGATCCTGCCAGTCTTCCAGATTCCTCTGGGATTATTGATTCTTTCTTGCCTCTTTTGTGTGTGTGCTTTTCATATCCTGGCTCATTGGAAAACTACAAGTGCAGCCTCACAAGATTTTCTATAAAATTCAATTTTCTTTTTTAACAGCAGTGTTTGCAATTACTAGTTGGAATTTGGGGGGCTTATTACCTCTTGCAGCAGCTGTCTCATACTGGTGTGTCGTACAACACATCTTACTTTAACTTCACAGGCACCCTGTGAAGCCAGTTGAATGTTAAGTTCCCCCATTTGACAGAGGGGTGATCAGTGGCACAGAGAGGTTCAGGCACCATCTCAAAGACACCCAGCAAGACAGTGGACAAGCCCTTGGTTTTCCAGTTTGTCAGCCTAAACATGGTTCCCCATGTCCACAATGGCTGAGAGAAGGTTCTGGTAAGGTGGGAGCAGGTAGCCTTATGCCTTGGGGGCCATTATCCCTTAAAATTCTGAAGGTGAGGTCCATAGTTCACTCTCCTTTCCCTAGAGAGAGAAATTCTCTCTGCATGAAGGATATCACCTCTAGAATCCCATCTCCCCAATAACCTCTACCCCTTCAAGCAGGCAAAGTCGGTGACAATTCCTCTGAAGCTAATAACCAAGCTGTCCTCACCTCTGTACCTGGTCTCAAATGATTCTCTGCTCAGACAGCAAGGACTGTGTGCATGCACACACTCAACAGGGACATAGAGGCATCTCTAGGTCTCTCTCTTTCTGTGTGTGTGTGTGTGTGTGTATACACACATCTCTTGTAATACACACATGCACACACATATGTACAACACGAATACAGAGGCACCCCCAGGTCTTTCTCTGTGTGTCTCTCTGTCTCTGTCTCTCTCTCTCTGTCTCTCTCTCTCTCTCTCTCTCACACACACACACAAACATACAAACATGCACAGCATGAATACAGAGGCACCCCCAAGCCTTTCTCGGTATCTCTCTCTGTCTCTCTCTCATTCTCTCTCTCTCTCTCACACACACACTTGCACAACATTACAGAGGCACCCCAAGTCTTTGTCTCTCTCTCTCAGTGTCTGTCTCTATGTCTCTGTCGCTCTCTCTGACACACACACACATACACACACGTACAACATGAATACAGAGCACCCCCAGGTCTTTCTCTCCCTCTGTCTCTTTCTGTCTGTCTCTGTCTGTCTCTCTGTCTCTCTGTCTCTCTCTCTCTCTCTCTCTCTCTCTCTGTCTCTCTCTCTCTCTCTCACACACACACACACACACACACACCCCATGAACACATGGCCACCCCAGGTATCTCTCTCCCTCTCTCAATGTCTTTGTCTCTGTCACACACGGAGTATCACATCATCTGGCTCTGGACATCCATGGGTGATCAGCCGCCTGGCCCCTCTCCTCTCCCTCGGCCCCATGCCCCGGAGTCGGTACCCCGCCCCACCGCTGGCCCCCAGCCCCGGGACCACTCACCCTCCATGCTGCCCCCTGTTGTGGGCTCCAGCGTTCTCCGATGGCTGGAGACGACGGGCCCCTTCGGGCCGGTGGGCGAGGGGACAGTCTGCGGGCACTTGGGTGCGGACCCGCGCCTCTGCCTCTGCGCTCTCAGCAGGTCAGCTCGGTCTGGGAAGAGGCGGGCGGGGAGCGGTCAGGGGGCATGCACTCCCAGGCCCCAGACCCTGGCCAGTTTCCCTCCCCTCGGACTGACCACACAGCGCTGCTGCCCGCCTGGCTCAGCTGCTGGTCGCTTCGCGCCTCCCGGCCAGGGGAAGGAGGGGGATCGCGCGGCGCAGTCGTCATGGCACCCGCGCGCCTGTACCCGCGCAGCGCCCCGGACCTCCTCCCGCAGGCGCTCCCTCCACAGAGCCCGAGCACCCCTCCAAAGTAGGGGACATACTTCTCTGCCCACTGCAGCCCTGGCAGCCACGTCCCGTTATTCCGCGCGAATCTCCCGTACCCCACATGCCAGCCTCTATCCCCCCTCCTCATCTTTGCCCACCCCAGCCTGGGGTCCAACACCCTGGACTTTCCTGAGAAGGGGATGAAAGGAAGCTGTGAAAACAGGAGGGCTTCAGGAGGGAAGTGGGGGGCGGGGAGCCCCACCAGCTCCGCGCTCTCCTAGGAGAATGGGGACAAGAATTAACCAGTTCAGGCACTCACCGGGTGGTACCCTTGGAAAAGTTTCTTACTGTAATAGTACCTGCACCTAAGTCTGTTTCTGCATTTGTAAAATGGGTTTGAAGGGAGTAAATATAATGGCAAAGTTTCAGCCCAGCCCATAGAAGCTACTCAACAAATGGTTCCTGGAAACGAATTGGAAGCTACTCATCTCCAGCCCCTTCAGACACCCAGCAGACCCCCAGCAGACCCCACCATAAATTTTTGCCACATGAATAAAGATCCCAGGTTCTATCTGCACGCCTGTGTTTGTTGCAACACTGTTTACAATGCGAAGATTTGGAAGCAACCTAAGTGTTCATCAGCAGATGAATGGATAAAGAAAATGTGGTACATGCACACAAGGGAGTACTATTCAGCCATAAACAAGAATGAGATCCAGTTATCTGTAACATGGATGGAACTGGAAATCATTATGTTAAGTGAAATAAGCCAGACACAGAAAGACAAGCATCACATTTTCTTACTTATTTGTGAGATCTAAAAATCAAAACAACTAGGCTCATGGGCATAGCAGAAGCACGGTTACCAGAAGCAAGGAAGGGCAGTGGGAGGTTGGGGATGGTTAATGAGCACAAAAAAAACAGCTAGAACTTGGGAGGCTGAGGCAGGAGAATTGCCTGAACCCAGGAGGTGGAGGTTGCGGTAGCCGAGATCCACCATTGCACTCCAGCCTGGGAAACAAGAGCAAAACTCCATCTCAAAAAAAAAAAAAAAAAAAGCCCAGCTAGAAAGAATGAATAAGACCTACTATTTGATCGCACAACAGAGTGACTAAAGTCCATAATAACTTAACTGTATATTTTTAAATAACTTAAAAAGTTTAATTAGATTGTAACTCAAAAGGATTAATGTTTGAAGGCATGGATTCTCCATGAATCTATTCTCCATGATGTGCTTATTTCACATTGCATGACTGTATCAAAACACCTCATGTACCCCATAAATATATACACCTACTATGTACCCATCTTTTTTTTTTTTTTTTGAGACAGTCTCGCTCTGTCCCCCAGGCTGGAGTGCAGTAGTACAATCTTGGCTCACTGCAACCTCCGCCTCCCGGGTTCAAGCGATTCTCTGCCTCAGCCTCTTTTTTAAAAAAAAGATCCCATGTTCTAGGCAGATGGAAGAAAGCAAATGGTCTGTTCCTTCCTTTTTTTAGGAGTCAGGAGTTTGCTCTCCAGAAACAGGAAGCAGTTGGCATCAGGATTCTTCCTAGTCTCACTTCGTTCCCTAGTTCCTCCTTTGTCCTGAGCAATGGGCAGAGTCTCACAGCTAGAAGGTCCTTAGAGGTCACTGAGTCTAATGCTGACCCAGAGCAGGCATCTTGACCCTAATCCCCAGCAAGAAGTATCCCCAGCAATGGGTACTTCTGTTGTCACATCCCTCTCTCTTCCCCTAGGGCAGCCCTTCAGAGGTCAAGAGGGAGGGAAGTTGTTCCTTCAACTCTGCTGTTCTGCTGGAGAAACTCAAGAATTTCCCAGGCTTTTTTCCATCTGTGACTTGCCTCACTCTCTTCATCTGTAAAATGAGCATAATAATGGCACCTATCTCCTATAGTTGTGAAGATAAAGCAGTTACTATGTATAAAACATGTGAACAGTGCTTTGCATATAGACAGTATGCAAGAAATATTTCTTATCTCATCACTACCTTGAGTCCACATTCCTGTAGAAGTGCTCACACTTCTTGAAGTCCCTCTGATAAAACCCAGAATTGTGTCAGGTCGTATTAAGCCACCTTGAGCAATGCAAAGTTTGCGGCAGTGTGCTGTCAAGTCTGAATAGCCTAGCGCTGCCATTTAGAGTTGGTGTGCTTTGCGAAAGTTATATGTCTTTGTGCCTCCATTTCCTCTCCTTTACAAAACAGGGGTAATAGTGCCTCCCATGTAGGGTTATGAGAATTAGATGAGTTAATACCTGCAAAGCCCTGACAACAGTGCCTGGAGCCTTGTAGGTACTCAATAAATATGAGCTACAATTACTGAGGCAATAGACTTTGTTTTGAAAGTTGTTTTTTTTGTTTTGTTTTTGAGACAATGCCTCACTTTGTCACCCAGGCTGGAGTGCAGTGGCACAATCTCAGCTCACTGCAACCCCTGCCTCCTGGGTTCAAGCGATTCTCCTGCCTCAGCCTCCCGAGTAGCTGGGACTACAGGCAAGCACCACCATGCCTGGCTAATTTTTGTTATTTTTAGTAGAGACAGGGTTTCACCACATTGGTCAGGCTGGCCTCGAACTCCTGACCTCATGATTTGCCCCTCCTAAAGTGTTGGGATTACAGGCTTGAGCCACCATGCCCGCCCTACTTTTGCACTTCCTTCCTTTCCTTCCTTTTTTCCTAAGCAGCCACATCATTCTAGTGCTTTGTGGTCAATTGTTCCACTGTCTTTTTTATTTGAGAAGTTCCAGATCACAGAACCTTTTTCTTCCTTCTCCCTCCTCTTCTACAGACATTTTTCTTCTACTATCAAAACATTCCTACAGTGTCAAGTTCAAGTGCTACCAGACAAAACAAATTCAGTGGATCTAGCCTTGGAGAGCAGGCAGAGCAGTGTGTCTGGGTATAAATTCTATCTCTACTGTTTGTTAGCTGTGTGACCCAGGGTAAGTCACTTAAGCCCTCTGATACAGTTTGGCTGTGTCCCCATCCAAATCTCATCTTGAATTGTAGCTCCCATAATCCCTATGTGTTGTGGGAGGGACTAGGTAGAAGATAATTGAATCATGAGGTGAGTTTCTCCCGTGCTGTTCTCATGATAGTAAATAAGTCTCATGAGATATGATGGTTTTATAAAGGGCAGTTCCCCTGCACACACTCTCTTGCCTGCCACCATGTAAGACGTGACTTTGCTCCTCCTTCACCTTCCACCATGATTCTGAGGCCTCCCCAGCCATGTGGAACTATGAGTCCATTAAGCCTCTTTTTCTTTATAAATTACCCAGTCTCAAGTATTTCTTCATAGCAGTGTGAAAATGGATTAATACACCTCATTTTCCTCATCTGTAAATGGGATATATAGTACTTCTTCTCAAAGCTGCTGTGTCTTGAGAAGTACTATATAAAATCACAGGCCAGTGCCCTTCCTTATCCAAAAGTCATGGGTGGAGGCCGAACAGACAGATTAGGTAAACATCTCTCCATGCAGATAAAGAAAAGTGCCCCATCTTTCTCCTCCTGTTGTGGACTGAACTATGTCCCCTAAAATTGCAATGTAGAATTCCTAACTCCACAATGTGACTACATTTGGAGATAGGACCTTTGGTAAGTAATTAGGGTTAAATCAGGTCTTCAGAGTGATGCCCTAATGACATAAGGGTGGTGTCAGTATAAGAAGAGAAAAAGGCTGTGTGTGGTGGCTCACTCCTGCAATCCCAGCACTTTGGGAGGCCGAAGCAGGTGGATCACTTGAGCCCAGGGGTTCAAGACCAGCCTGGGCAACATGGCAAAACCCTGTCTCTATAAAAAATATGAAAAAAATAGCCAGGTGTGGTGTTGTGTGCCTGTAGTTCCAGTTACTCAGGGGGCTGAGGTGGAAGGATCACTTGAGCCCAGGGGGCAGAGGCTGCCCTAAGCTGACATCACACCACTACACTCTAGCCTGGGTGACAGAGCAAGACCCTGTCTCAAGAAGAAGAGGAGGAGGAGGAGGACGAGGGGGAGTAGGGAGGAGGAGGAGACGACAACACCAGGAATTTATATGCACAGAGGAAAGGCCATATGAGGCCACAGTGAGCAGGTGGTTCTCTGCAAGCCAAGGACGGAGGTCTCAGGAGAAACCAGGTCTTTCTGCACCTTGATCTTGGACTCTAACTTCCAGAACTGTGAGAAAATTAATTTTTGTTGTTTAAGCCAGATAAGGGGTACCCAAATTTTTGTTGTGGAAGCCCCAACCCCTCATTCACGGCCTGTTAGGAACTGTGCCACACAGGAGGAGGTGAGCATTAGGGGAGTGAACATTCCCACCTGAGCCCCGCCTCCTGTCAGATCAGCAGCAGCATTAGATTCTCATAGGAGCATGAACCCGATTGGGAACCTAGGTTGCGAGCTTGTTATGAGAATCTAATGCCTGATGTTCTGAGGAGGAAGAGTTTTATCCCCAAACCGTCAGCCCCACTCCCTGTCTGTGGAAAAATTGTCTTCCACAAAACCAGTCTCTGGTGCCAAAAAGGTTGGAGACTGCTGGTTTAGGCCACCCAGTCTGTGGTATTTTTGTTATGGCAGCCCTAGTGAACCAAGACACCGCCCTACCCCAAAGCAGCTCCCAGGAAACTTGAGGCAACATTATCCTCCATTGTAGATCACACTTTTCTCCAAAGTTCACCTGACTGCAGGGCTGGGGCTCTTCTCTGCCCTGAACCTTGGATGCTGAGTCTTTCAGTCAGACAAGTCACTATTGCTCCTATATTACATATGCAGCCATCAGGGCAAATAGCTTACCCAATATTATATAGCTGTAGTGGAGCAGAAAGGCTAAGAACACTCCGCTGCACTCCTTGGGCACTGGCCCTGCTGTACCTTAGTCCTGCCTCCCTCAACTTTTTTGGGCCTTTGGGAGAGTATCTGAGAAAGCTAAGGGTGTACCCAACCAAAATGTAGAAGCAATCCCTGTCCATCTTGAGCCTCATCACTTCCTT